ACAGATTGTCCAGTCTGCAATAGAAAAAACAGCCTCAATGTTTGAACACAAGATCACTACGCTTAATGCCAAAATTGATGGGATTGTTGCGCAAGTCAACAATGTCATCGCGCACGTGAAGAAAACTTACGTAACCATGGCACAGTTCGACAGCTTGAACAACCCACGCCAAATGACTCGGAAGAAGGCATGAGCGAACAGTCACAATGCCTCTCGCTCAGTCTCGCCGAGTCGCGATGGCAGGCGTGACATCGAATCGATTGAAGATGGCAGTCCCTAACCATAAGTATAAGAACCAGCATTCAACTTTACGCATATGGCAATGGAACTGTCGGTCACACCGCCCTCGACACGCAAGCCTACAAGAATTCATCAAGCTTAACCAACCAGACATCATTGCACTTCAGGAAACCAACACGCAGAACGTACGACTGCAAGGCTACACGACCTGCGCACAAACCCATCGAACTGCCATACTTGTCAAGAAAGCACTTTCAACGCAAAAACACGAAATCGAGGACACTCAAATAGAGCATACCCTAATAGAGATTCTGCCGGAACGAAAGACGCAGCAAAGTCTTTTCATAACCAATATATACAGCCCCCCACGAGACCAACTACCAGACTTCGATCACTTCATACGAGAAATCAGGAAGCGCACAAATGGCCACCAGATCATAATAATGAGAGACTTTAACGCCTCTCACACGGCATGGGGCTATCATATCACCACGAGGAAGGTTTCTAGAGTGCACGATACTGCTCAACATTACAGACTAACCCTGTGGAACGACCCTCTTCAGAAGACGAGAATCGGGAACAGCGTCTCCAGGGATACAAATCCAGATCTTACATTTACGGCGAACGTCACTAGGGCAGAGTGGAGTGTGCTACCGGAAACTTTAGGTAGTGATCATCACATCATCCAACTCTCTGTAGCGCACACTCGTAAACAGACCAAGACTGAAATAGCGCGGTTAACGGAATGGCAATCCTTTAGGAATGACCTCGACGTTGAAACCACCATAATCGACATTGAAGACTGGTTTAAGAATGTACTCAAAATAGCCGAACGCTACACTAAGGACATACAGCTTGACGTCGATACACCCGCCGTCGACGCGCATCTCCTCCACCTTTGGGAGGCTAGAAGAGGACTTCTAAAACGGTGGAAGCGGCAAAAACTAAACAGAAATTTACGGAAACGCATTTCTCTTCTCACTGAGCAAGCTCAAGATTATGCGAACCGATTGGCCAGGCAGAACTGGCATGCTTTCTGTGACAAGCTGCAGGGGACTCTGAGCACCAAGAAAACCTGGTATCTGCTACGCACACTTCTAGCCACGCAACCCTCCAAAGCAGCACAGAAGCAGCACCTTCAGAGGCTTATTCGAAACTACGCCGGTACAGAAGAACACCTCCTAGAAGAATTACAAAAGAAGCTCTGTGGCGATGCACCCACTAGGGCTTCAATTTACACCAAAGAATACGCTGGCGCACCAAACACTGAACTCGACCGGCCCTTCAGCCTGGCTGAGCTGCACACAGCCCTAACGAATTTGACAAGAAATACCAGCCCCGGAATAGACAGGATTGTCAACAAGCACTTACGCAACCTACCGCACCAGGCCACCACGGCTCTTCTCCGTTATTGCAACGACTGCTGGGATAAAGGAGAGCTACCTGCGGTATAGAAGCACTCGGAAATCACCATGATCCCTAAGCCTAACAAACCAGTCGGCATCGAGAACCTACGCCCGATTTCTCTCACCTCGTGCGTGGGAAAGCTGTTCGAACACATGGTGCACGACCGCTTAACCCAGTACCTGGAAGATAGTGGACACCTACCGGACACCATGTTTGGCTTCAGGCAGCATCTTTCGACGCACGACGTGCTCTTACTACTCAAAGAAGACCTCCTTGATCACCTCACCCATCTAAGTAAGTACTCCATACTCGGAGTTGACGTCAAGGCGGCCTTCGATAACGTCAGCCACGACGCGATCCTCAACAACCTCGAAGGCGTTGGCTGCGGCATTAGAACCTACACGTATGTCAGAAACTTCCTGACAGACCGTACAGCAACTGTGGGCATATGCAACATCCGCAGCAAAAGCTTACAACTACCGAAAAAAGGAACGCCGCAGGGTTACTTTTCAATGTGGCTATAATCAATCTGCCAAAAATGCTTGACAAAATACCTGATTTACGGCACGCAATCTACGCTGATGACATCACGCTCTGGACCAGGGCTTCGAACACCGGGAGACAAGAGACCTGCCTATGAACCGCCGTAGATGCCATCTAACGGTATCTCAGAGACTGCGGTCTCTGCTGTGCCCCCGAGAAATCCGAGCACCTCGTCCTCACAGCGAGAACAAGAGGCAGACCTCCTCTATACGACGAGCCCGACCCTAGCGTAACGCTGAAAGGGACCTTAATTCCAAAAGTCGAGACCCTGCGAGTGCTTGGAGTTCACATCTACAAGGATGGATCGGGAGCTGCCACCATACCGAGACTCCAACGGACACTATCACAACTCGCTCACCTCGTCAAGAGGATCGCGAATCAACGAAACGGACTCAAAGAGCACGACACGCTACGTATAATGCAAGCTCTGTTCACCAGCCGCATTACGTACGGCACGCCGTACCTAAATTTGAAAACCGCTGAAATTGAAAAACTTAATATCATGATAAGAAAGGCCACTAAAGTAGCCCTGGCACTTCCGCCAATGGCCTCTACCACACGTCTCCTAAAGATGGGCGTCCACAACACGTGGCAAGAGCTCATTGAAGCGCATAGGAATAGTCAGCTGGAGAGGCTCAAGCTGACGCCCACGGGGAGGTCGGTGCTCCGGTAACTGAACTACTGCGACACGTTCATCGCCGATGCAGACCGGAAAAAGCGCATCCCGCTGTACATTAGAGAGTCGCTGTTCATCGCACCTATTCCACGCAACATGCATCCTACTTTCCACAAAAGCAGACGCAAGGCTAGAGCTAACGCTATTCGACGAAAGTTCAAGCAAGACCCGGACACCCGCTACACTGACGCAGCCAAGTATCCGCATAAGAAACGCGTACGCTGTCAGCGTCGTTGATTCTCAAGGCCGAAAATTAGCGTCAGCCACGCTCTACGCACTCAAACATGATGCCGCAGAAGAATCGGCAATCGCTCTAGCAGACGCCGCGGTGATTTTCACCAACTCACAAGCCGCCTGCAGGAATTTTGCTAAGGGCCGTATCTCAGCCAATGCCATCAATATTTTGAAACGGCGAAGCACTCCACTCCCATACACTTGTGTATTATGGGTGCCAGGACACGAAGGTCTGCAGGGAATTGAAGCGGCCCACGCCGCTGCCCGCGAGCACGTCATCCGGGCTGCCCCCTGCTCACAGGACATTCGACCCGTCGTTGAAGAGACGGAAGTTGTTCAAAACACCTACTCGTCATTACTCCAGCATTACAGGCTGGAGCGACGAGTATACCCTCTACCACACCCAAAACTTACAAAAGAGGAAAGCGTAATACTGAGACGCCTGCAAAGCAGCGCATACACACATGGGCCCTAATGCACCGTCTCTACCCAACGAGATATAGCTCTATTTGTCCGCTTTGCAACGTACTGGAAAACCTGGCGCACTTGCTTCTTGCATGCCAGTGTATTGCCAGACGTAATCTGCAACAACACACGACTGATAACGAAGCAGGATGGACGAACGAAGACCTAACCGAAACGTGGGAGGCGATGCTCGCCCTCGAGGACCTGGAAGAGCAACAACAACTCGTCGCCAGGGCCAAGAGGGCAGTAGAAGCCAGAGGGTTCCTGGACTAAGGAGCCCCCCCCCCCCACCTCAGGGTGACATCGGGTATTGCTCGGAACACTGTTTCAAAATAAACGTTTACTTCTCTCTCTTTATGATATGTTTTTGTGTATTTTAACGATACCTATTCCACGACAGAAATGACGACATTGATACCTTGGTGAAACCGGCATACAACACTTCCGGGTTAAAAGCGGTTATTGAGGAACGAACACAAAAGAGCACTTCTAACAGACTCGGAGCAGGTGCGCAGAATTTCAAAATATACATAATGCTAGAGCAACGCCTCGGAAGGCAGCGTCCCACTTGCTTTCGCTACTTGCCTGACCCGCGCGTAGCGAGCTGCCTCTCGGCTGTACCACCCAGCTACTTAGTGAATGTACAACCCACTCCACCCCATTCATCAAACCGAGCCCGGTGACTGCAGAATCGCAAGGTCTGAATATCTCACCTAGCTGTCCAATGCAAGTCGCGCTAAATATTGTTAAATAGTTAATGCTGCCAGAAGTCATTACCTCCAAAGGCCCCCACTGATTCCCGTTGCCTGCTTTTGAGGCCGACATATTGACCGCACAAAAAAGTCGAGAACAGAAGAAGGCATTAAGACACGGGCGAAAATGTTGAACAGTAAGCACTAAATAGGCCAGTTTCAAGTTCTCCTGTTGCTTTTAAAAGATTTCGATTCACAACGAAGTCACTCAGAGGTCACTGTAAGACTACTTGGAATCGTAGCTAGATTATGTCCGTACAAGCCGTACATGACTCAGCATACGGACCGATGTTTCCAGAAGTGCTTCTTTTGTCTCTGCATTACTTGTAAATGTTATGTATGCCCACTTCTGCCCTTTAGAAGACACTGTACCTGAGACGACACTTTATGTTGAATAAATTCAGACTGAAAAAAAAATTATTATCAAAAAGCTACGAACTACTCGAAAGGAATGCACAAATCTATGTTTTTCTAGACACTGGCACACCGCGAGCAATGCCTTCGTGGCTAGCGCGCACGCCTGGTACAAATGTCACCGACTGTAATCACGTGTACGTCTCCAGGAATCGGAGTGTGTAAAAAAGGAAAGAGGTGACTTTTTTCATTTAGAAGCACATGAGGATCAAAAGCTCAAGTTTTCAGAATAGAACAAAAGGCACGTGGTACCACAAGTTGTTGTCATTTCTAAAACACAATGATCGTTACTGTTTTAACCCTATATAGCGGCTAGGACGCTTGTAGGCCTTAGTGAGAGCTGTGCTTCTTTTATGATTATGTATGTCGGGGGCGGGAGCAGCAAATTAGCGTTTCAATTTACCCGTATATAACGAATTAGGCAGTCACAAGACAAAAGAAAGTGCAGTATGGGGATCCCTAGAAAAGAACTAGGTATCACCGGCACCGTTTTGTTCGCTCTGCTCTGGACAACACCTCATGCAGGTAAAATCTTCGATCATTTGCGAAAGCTGATCATCACTAAACATCACTAAACATCACCCTGAACATCACTTGATGCCCGAATTCCCGTGATAATTGCATAGCAAAGCCGATTCTTCATTCCTGGCGCTCCATATTATGTCGTTACATTTGAAAGTTCGTCATCATCATCATCGGCCTGACTACGTCCACTGCAGCACGACGGCCTCTCGCATGTTCTGCCAGTCAACTCAGTCCTGTGCTTGGTGCTGCCATTTTATACCCGCAATAATCACATCTGCTCACCTAACTTTATGTCTCCTTCTAATCCGCCAAATTATGCATTCACATGGTGTGCGCCTAAACATCACTTGATGCCCAAATTGCACGTGATAATTGCATAGAAAGGCCGATTCTTCATTCCTGGCGCTTCAAGATATGTCTTTACATTTGAAAGTTCATCATCATCATCATCATCATCATCATCATCGGCCTGACTATGTCTTCTGCATAACAAAGGCCTCTCGCATGTTTCCCCAGTCAACTTGGTCCTGTGCTTGCTGCTGCCATTTTATACCTCGAAACTTCTTAATTCCATCTGCCCACCTAAATTTCTGTCTCCCCCTAATCCGCTTGCCTTTCCTTGGAATCAAGTCAGTTACACTTAAACACCAGCGGTTATCCTGCCTAGCACTACATGCCCGACCCATTATAATTTCCTCTTCTTGATTTCAACTATGATATCCTTAACTAACGTAACGTATGCGCCTGTTGTAACGTATTCGCCTGTTGTTGAGGGTGACTGGCGTTATACTATAAAGTCATTCTTTTCAAATTCATTATATTTAAAAGTAATATGTGATCCACTATCTAAACAATCGTTTCTTGGCAATCGTTTCTTGGTTCACACCCCAGAGGGGGTGTGAACCACTCGTTTAGGCCATCATCATCATCATCTGCATCCTCATCGTCATCATGATAATCGCCTGCTCTTACGCCCGATGACATTGTACGCTTGTACGACGCACTTACACTATAACATTCCGTGCTGCATTGCGAAACATGTATGCAGAACGCGTGTGTTTGCAAAGAACGAAAGTCACTTTCACTGCATTTCCAAGCCGATGAAGTTATTTTCGCTGTGATCACAAGTAGACGCGTGGCTGCGTGCTTCGAGACCACAGGAACCAGGATATACCGACTCTCGAGCGTGAATCAAACAGTCAACCTCCTTAGCAGTGCACTTAAAGCGCTTCCGACTCGTTACAACGCTGACTAGTGCTTCGGCGCAACCATTCGGCTTGACAGTCTCCCCGATAACCTAGCGACTGGCTGGTGGAACTTTGCCAGTACGACCGCCACTTTCGTGAACGAGCCAGTCACTGCATTCAGACTTGTTCGTGGACGGTAAACGCAACGGCCAGTCATCACCGGTGCCATGCGCCACCGGCCCTCATTAAAGCGCCTGCTATCGTGGACAACTCCATCACCCACCGGTTCATCAACAACACAAAATGCGAGCTTTGTATCGTACCCGCCCCGTTGTGAAGATCACAAGTTCAACAAACGCGGAATGCTGTGGAGGTATCTTTCGCGTCGTATGGGCACAAGTCAGGTACTTTACACTGGCACTCAGGCACCTGTAGAGATCGGTGTACAGGATTACAGACGTCAGATTTACCACACTTGACGGGAAATACTTGAGGTATTGCAGCCTGGATGTGAGTACGCGCGGTCGGCGCTTAAGTATTCTAGAACGTCACGTCCCTCACTGCACCGGACTCTCAGTCCAGGATCCCCTCATCGGCTTGTGTATGTTTCAGCCAGTATCAAACCACAGTAAAATACTTGCTCAGTGCTCGAAACTCATGAAGGCTTGAAATTATGAGCTGCCCGTGAAATACAAGGTGTAGCATCATGCCACTGCCACTGGTCAACTTGTCACAACCCGTTCAAAGAGGCCCGCTCAAACATAATTTCAAGTCGCCGTATGTTGGGCGAAACACACTTCAGCTCGGCGTTGTTCATCTTTCCTTAGCAACCAGCATTCGCCTCGCAATCCCCACTAAAATGACGACTGTCTGCATTGTGGGCACCACCGAGCTTCGAATGCCGTTACTACTCCGGGTAATAATTACTTTTCGGCATACCTGTCTTCGGCCCTCATCTCGCGGGATCCGAAATATACAAGGATGCACTACCATGAGTTTTCATTGCTTTATTTTGATTAATTTGGGTATCACTTCCAAAAACTGTTACCTACTCTCGGCGCGCACCAAGCAGCAACGTTTCAAGAAGTTTCCTAATTGTTTCAGATAGTTCTGCTAAGATTACGAGCGGGACGTCAATAGTTAGGTCCAGTCAAGAAATTACGCGAGCACCAGCGGTAATACCTAAATGCTCTATTACTGATGGTAAAAGACAATGCGTTTTGATGATGGACTGATTACTTGACTGCCGGCAACTGTCCACGCCGCCAGTAGGGTAAAAAATGAGTTGCACACCGAATTTATTGAGTAAAATAACAAGTTCCGCATTTTCCCGTGTCTCTGCAGCTCTCCTCGCAGTCGTAACCACATAGCAATATGTTTGATGCCCTTGTACTGCCAAATTCATTTCAAACTGAGTGACATATAGAAAACAATAACGACTACGTTAGCTTTGTTTTATTTTCGCACATATACTTTACGACTTGAAGTACATATGGCAAACCTTTCAGAGGTTCATGAACGAGATTGTGAGTGGGTTCATTTCAGTTCTGTCTAGCTTGAATGCATTCTTTTTGCCTTAAAAGGTCAAACGGTTATGACCACAAGGCGGAACTAAGCCACTTTAAGAGGTGCGAGTACAATTTAATTGTAAACTACCTCCATGAGCGCGTAGATCACTCGATAGCTTCTTCCACAGTGTACATTTAAAGAGAGCTTTCGCAAACTTTTATTACCGGCAAATCATACTGCAGTAATTCTGTTCAGTGTTAGTTTCAAGAAATTCAAAGCTCTTTCTGAGCGTACTCAGCATGATAGCCTTTGTGATGACCGTTGCGGTTTGGAGTGTTACGCCAGAAACTCGAGGGCACTGCTTGTGGCGTTCTCAGTGAAAAATTGGTGCATGGGCATTCTGGTATTCTGCCAGTAAAGTACCGGTCTGTCCAGCCAACTTTCACTCCTGGTTCCGCCAAGCGTGGACCGTGTCGTAAGCGTTAGCAGTTGTAAACGCTCGTTGGGGTTGGTCATATGACCACTGTGACTTCGTTTATTGTTATTCTACGTCACTGAAAGCTCATTCGATGCTGCTGGCAAAATTAGTGAATTAGGAAATCACGCGACAGATGTTCTATAGCGGTAAACTTCTTTGGAAACGTCTGTGACAACAGCTGCATTAAAGTGGACTCCAAAAACATTTCCATATATTATTTGCATATTGTCAAAATTAATTCAATGATCATCCGAGAATTCGGCATCTGAACATCCATATGTGTACCTCATTAGAGCCGCGTTTACAGACACTGTAGGCTATTTGAATTTTGCGCGTTTTTCCACACGTGTTGGCCAGTAAAACACAGCCAATATGTCTCTATGTAAACGCCATGACAAATGTATGTTTCGTTGCGCCATGCCACGCGAAGAGATTGATTCGTGATATCATTGCAACAGTCACTTTCACTGACATCACAGTCTACATTTGTTGCAGTATTCTTTGACGCATTTGTTTTCAGTCAATGGTATAAACTTCTCCTACATCACGTTGAGGTTCATCTTGACCTACAGGTAAAGAAAATGTCTACTTTTACTATGAGTCTAAGTGACGTAGCACAGGTTTTTATAGTACCTATTTGCATTTTCAGAATTGTTTAATGTCACTCACTACTTGTGGTATTATTCTCGTTTCAGAAACACGTGTGTACCCAAGACTGATTGAAGGTAGGGCTGATGACGGCGACTTGTTGCTGAACATCCATACGGGCCTGACTCTTCACCTTCGCAAAAGTTCTATACTCGCAAGAGACTTCTTCCTTACATCAGCCTCTGGCATTGAAACACACAGCATAATTGTAAGTTTCACGGACAGGCGGGCGGGCGGACGGACGGACGGATGGACGGACCGACGAACGTTCCGCCCCACTCACACTCATCATCATTCACTCCGTTGATACGCTGTGATTTTTTTGGTAACCAGTCCGCTATACGTACAACTACCTCTTTGCGCAAACAAGGTCCGAGTGTCTGGAAACATTTCAGATACTCTGAGAATATTCTGATAATATTCTGGGTAGCACGTGAATGGTTGACTCTAATGTAATAACATAATCTTTGATGCCACTAAAAGAAAAGTCCGACGTGCTTTACTGCGGAGAAAATTACCTACCACAATGCTTATCTCTATCAATGTCGAGTAATGATCGATGGATGTGTGAGGTTTAACGTCCCAAAACCACCATATTAGAGGTGCCGTAGTGGAGGGCTCCGGAAAGTTCGACCACCTGGAGTTCTTTAACGTGCGCTAACCTCTGAGCACACGGGTCTACAGCATTTCCGCCTCCATAGAAAGTGCAGCTGCCGCAGGCTGGATTTGATTCCGCTACTTGAGGATCAGCAGCCGAGTACTTTAGCCATTTCATCACCACGGTGAGTCTATAAATGTAGAGTATGTATTGCCTGAACAATAACTTCGCATTTCTTTCAGCACAAGTTCACGCAAACAAAAAGTTTCGTCTAACACCCGCCACCAATCGACTTCCTCAAGTTTACAACCATGTGCCACTATCTACAAAGTGCGCAGCAGCACAACAGATTTCTGATTCTGTAAAAGTACTGTTCAGCTTTGCCGAATATTAACGCAGAGTATAGGAGTTACTTTCTAGTTCACATTACTAACCTCTTTAAGGTCAGCATTTTTATATTCGCCGCTGCTCGTGAAGCCGAAGACGGATTTTTTTCTTAAGAAGCATGATCTTTCCCAGCAGTAGAACAACCTGCATGCTGCCTTTTCTCGAACAGGTTGATGAAAGATTCTTTCGTGAGGCCTAGTCACATCACAGGCACAAAGCGAACTTGCCGTCTTCGCTGCTATGATACCGTATTTCATATCTCTTGTTGACACTCGCTCTTATGTTTTCCTTCGCATGTTAGCAGTGGCGTACAGATTAGAGATCAAGGCGTCGGCGATAAAATAGGCATTTCATTAGCGCCACTGCAACACGTAGGTAAGCTAAATTATGCGAACTGCGATTGTCCGCTCCCCTCCTTTCCGCGGGCCAAAGTACGCGTGACGGATGGGAGCCGCCACCAAGCGCTCATTGCGCCATCTTGCTGATAATACTGAAAACATAACAGCAACCTCCCCCCCCCCCAAATGCCCACCAACAGCGGAAAGAGGTAGATATAAATGGCTTGCCGTTTAAACGTTGAAGGAGGCACGCTTGGTTTCTCAGTTGTTAACGCCTTGCATTCACTACGTGGAGGTCCCACGTGCGATTCCGCGCACCGGAGTCTCTTGGATTCTTTTTTCTTTCCTGCGTATTCATTTATATAGAGAAGTATAAATATACGGTGCATGACATCGACGCCAACGCCGGCGGAGAAATCCAGCTGAGAGTGTCCATATAGTTGCTATTGCAATGAAATGGTATATAGTTTCTTCATTAACTTGAATGGTGAGATGTAGACATCGGATAAACAATGGTCCCGAGTTTCAATCCTCGAACCGAGCAAAGTTCTCGTCACTTGGGTACTTTTGTTCAAAAACCAGGATAGGACCCGCATTTATTCATTTCGAAGACCCTCCTTCCTTTTTCTATAATCCGTAGAACTTATTTTTTTTTTTTGTTCTGCCAGAAGTTTACCGCTGTGTGTTTTTACCTGCTTTGTTCCAGCTGAACGGGTCGGAACTCGAGCGCGACTTGTACCACGACACGGAGCAGCGTTCTTCGATTATCGTAAGGCGAAAGGAAAACGGCGTGGAGGTGGTGAGTTGTGGCCAACGAAAATGACGCTAGACTGCATGACCAGATTAGGTCAGTAAATAAACTAAGAGTAAATCAGTAAATAAACTAAGAGAAAACATGGCCACCACCATAGTGAATGAAAGTCAATCCCCAGCAGTTTTCAAAAAGAAGATACACGCTTATCTACTCATGCTTCAAACGTGATATGTCTTTTTTGTGTGTTAATGAAGCGCAACTCATGTAGCTTTGCTGAAACGCACTGTAAATTTTTCACTTCCTCACAACTGTTCACAACTACGTTTTTGTTTTTATAGGATTTCAAAGGGCTTTTATGTGTAAAGAGTGCATTTATAGATGTGTAAATATTTCCTATCTTTTCCACGCTCTACGTCTACACTTTGTATATTTCACTGTATTGAATCTATGTATTTATGCTCTAGACACACATGCTGAGTGTTGTGCATTATTGTGGTCTGGGCGGGGATCGGTGCATTGTCAGGCATTCAGTTGCCTTTTCACCACCCCTTTCCATTCAACCACTGGATAAGTGATGTATGTTTAAAACTATGATGATGAATAAACTTCAAACTTCAAGTACAAAACTTAGAGTGGAGGGAAGCGGGGGGGGGGGGGCTGACACATAGCTCCGTTTTACCCCATTTGAGTAATTGTTAGCAGAAAATCTTCTGTTTGGCTATGTTCACAGTAGTCCAGTGAAAGGCATGTTTGAATGAAATGCATTTTTCTTTTTGGACGCCAATGAAACGATGAATCTCGTTCAATGTAACCGACAGCGGTTGAAACTACGACGTTGATTTTCTAACTCAAGTATTCTAAGACATAGGGAGTCGCGTAATACTTATTGTCCTACTCAGGAGCGAAATGTCACTATTAGGGAGTCTGATTTTACCACTGAAGTTTATTTCAAATATTCATCACCTAATTTATAGCCTTAGTTCCTTGTTGATTGCAGGTGAATTGACTTTAATGCAAGTACTTCACAAAAACGTTCGAAACAATGTCAAAACTTTTTGTTTGTTGATTCCCAGTAGCGTCCACAAAAGATAATAAATTATCATTTTTTGTGTTCGTAGCTACTTTGACAGTTTTCTTATCCCCTTCTCTGGTCTTCTCAATCATTATCTTGTTTGAACCACATTAACATACATTTGGAGCTATGACAACATATTATAACAGCCACTTCCATTCCTCACCGAAGTAAGGAATGAGTTTCTTAATATATTCTGATCGAGTGGCAGTTTTCGTTCCCCATAGATTGCACAACCAAACCAACGTGTGCCAATTATTTATGGAGTACAATTATAATACCCGATTTTTGTATTATTGAGCTAAGCACCTAATATTTGCCATTCTTATTACTTGTATAAACTCACGCTCAGGTTTTGCAAACGAAGTCCTAGTCATAAGTTACCAGGCCACGGTTCCATAAAATATATTGCGTGGTGACGGGGGAACATTTTACCCACTCCTGTGCGATGGAGTCCATGACATCGTTATTTTTGCATTTCAGAGAGGAATCTTGAACGATCAACTCAGGATTACGCCGGCTGTTCTTTCCCAACGTTCCGATGAAGGTCTCATTCCTCATGATGTATTTACAGTCGAAGAAAGATCAAGCACTCCTGCGAATTCATGTAAGTCACAAAAACGTAGCGAATAGATTCATCAGTAAATAAACTAAGAGAAAACATGTCCTGCCTTTCAGCGGGAATGCATCGGGAAGATAAATGCCTGTACAGTTCTTCATCACGAGTTCTCATGAACTGTACCAAAGAACATGTGGCCATGTTACTTTCCTGGAAGCTCATGAGATGAAACTGAAATGCGAACTAGGACGTACCCCAACCTTTCGTCGTACTAGAATATTTCAACTAGTGGCAATCATTTCACATATAGATCTTTCAAGCCCACCTGATTAACAACAGAAAAAGTACTAACACTGTACGCATGATTTCGGCCACTCTACATCTAAAAGATTATGAAACGGTTCATGCCATAGCTCGATGATCACCTTGCAAGGACTATTGTTACTTTTTGTAAGTGCCTGAAAATTATATAGGGTGTACATGTATTTAGCTGGTGGTTTAAATCACACGTGTACACTCAGTATAGTGCTATTCAGCAGTGCACTGAGGTGTTTCGTGCCTTGTGTCCGTTTTTTATCTACCTAATATAGATGTCCTAAAATGGCCCATAAGTTTTTATGCGTTCGTCTAAGCAACCCTAAAGCGAAAAGCCTCGTGCTTCATCATTTCGGATCGATTTTATTGATTCTGGCCAACACCAGACGTCATGGTTTCTGCCCCTTAGCTGGTTTTCCAGCCGTGGTTAAGAGATCAGCTGATGTTTGACCGTACGCGGTCGTTACACGGTGTCACATTACATAAAGTCACAGTGACGTCACAATTACGGCATAATGACGTCGCATATTCTGGTGACGTATGGCGTCATCGCGTGATTTTTCATCGCTTCGTGCTTCAGCCGTCGACGGTTTTTTTTCGTCTTTGTGGACGCATGGGAGGACTGAACATACTCAAAAATTCTGCTCTACAGGAGAGTAACAGTAAGAATGCAAGCTTTAATGCATTGCTACTCGTTCTTTTCCTTGACGTGTGTCTGCCATTTTGTGATCAAATTCTGACCAGGATCAAACTAAGAGCCATATATTGTAGTTCTCTAGCTTTGCATTGTGTACGTCTTCATGTTTGAACAGAGTAAACAAAACATAACAAATTGTCTCATTCTTTTAACTGCCTTTCTTTTCCTGGTACAGCTGGACTTTCTACGAATGATACGTGCGCAAAGGACCACACGAAAAGTGCTGGCAAGTACATACTGTTGTCGTTTTCGCTGCAAAGATAATATGTTGTGCTTTCAGAGAAAAAAATCGCAACATATCCACGGAGTGAATGATGATGAGTGGAGCGAAGCGTCTGTGCGTTGGTCCATATGTCCATCCGCTCATGTGTCTGTCCGTTCATTCACGTGTCCAGACGGACAGACGGATGGACAGACAAAGGCACGAACGGACGCACAAATAGATGGACACAAGGACGGACTGACGGATGCATGAACGGACGGACGGACAAATGGTTGACTTCTTCCACACGAGGCGCTTGGATTCTGTTGTTCTTCTTGCTTTAAATATTGGCGCACCATGACCTACATGTGGTATCTCTATAAATACGAACAGTATCAAGCTGGCAAAACCACTCCTTTTCCGGCTTAATATAATGCACAACCTATTACTTACAAATTTTAATTTACTTGAAATTCAGAAACCTTGGGCGTTGTTCTATGTAGCATTTCTAAGATAAATTACTTGTGATGCTGGGGCCAAGCAGTAATATATTGTAAGTTTTCTTTTATTTTTCAGTGAAAACAAGTATAAGTAACTGTACCAGTGAGTTTGTTGTCGAAATGTGCGTGGTAGCAGGGCCCACATATTGGAGCGTGTTCAATAAAACTGAGGATCTCGTCACCTATGTAGCGACGGGAATGAATGCGGTAAGCTGCGAGATATTCATTTCGAACATTTTCTTCAGCACAATTTTGTTATTTTTACCTGTACTTGTATCCTAGTGACTAAAGTATACGGTGGTCGACCTTGAGCACGACCTCCTGAATATCTGGTTCCAGTAATTGTAGCTTCATTTCAGTGCGGGATGAGCGCGAAGGCACTCGCGTACTTATATTTAGCGGAACATCAAGGAGCTTGCTGGTGGTGAAAAATTAATAAACTTCTGCGTTATCGCAAAGTTGCCGACGTGCTTTATTTACATATCTCGGTCCATCTTCATCAGTTTTTCAAAGAGGATGTTGCCTTAACCAAGTGTTTTATCTCAGGACAACCCTTGCAAAACTAATCCCAGTTAGTCTTTCAAAAGAGTTATATTCACTATTCCAGATCGGCAAAAAGAGCTTCCTTTATTTCGGTTCTCCGAGAAGATGTCTTTTTCTTTTATTGCGTAGGTATTACAGCTACTGTCCTTCAATTATGTTGAAGTTGCCTGTGTTTGCAGATTCAAACCTCAAGATACAAGAGCCTCAAGGTAAAAGGTCATGTGAGCGTAAAAAACCCTCCACCCTGTTGCTTGTCAATAATCAAGCCAAAGGATTTAACCTCGCCTAGTCCCGCATTTGCTGAGCATCAGCAGCCACCAAGCCACTGCTCTCAGACGGAGATAGTCCGCACAGCTACCGCGCCGTTAGCCTGACTTGGTGCGAGCCTAGTACGAGCAATGAAAGGTCCTCGCTTCAACCAGGGTGCCATTCAGTTTTGTTCTGGTGTTGTAACGTTCTGGTGCGGTAGCTTCGACTCTTTTGCATGGTCGGTGACAGGCCGTAGTTTGACTTAACCCTGTGTACGCTAAGGAGAGGCTTAGCATCATGCAAGAAGAGCACGTTAAACATTTGAAATCGACCACTTTGGCTGCTTCTTAGCGTTAGTCGGTTGGCATGACTATTTCCTTTCTTATTTACATTGAGATCTTATTTCAATACATGTTCTTCGATCGTGAAGTCATGGTCATTGAATTTAATCAGTGACTCTTACCTTCGCTAACATGCTTAAATCAATCATATCATTATTTACCTGCAGAGGACCACATGGCTATAACATCCTGCCAATTCTGCTCATATGCTTCTCAGGGAAATTTTCTCAATAAAAAAGAAGAAAGCAATTTCCATTTGCTCCTTCAACCTGCTCAGTTCATGGCAGGATTTTCGGATCTGTCAGCCAATTTTTGTCCTACAGGCGCAAGGCACAATTGCCTTAGAGCTTACGATCTGCCCAATAGGTCGTCAACCAGTCAAGGCTGTGAACTCGCATTTCAACAGGCGCTAAGGAAAGGAATGGAGGGGATTAAAATTACGGACAACGTACCTTTACGCATTCCTGGAACACTGCAATGAACTTATCTAAATGTCTCAATTCATACATCTCCATAGTTAATAAGCTAATAAAAATTATTATTCAGTACAGCCATATAGTCAGTCATTGTGAATTGTTTTCAAGTTATGAGTACTATGCTCACAAGCCTATTTATAAAAACGTCTATTATGAAAGTAGTTGCCTCGAGAGTTCTATGATAGTAAAGCAGCGAGAACGTTTTTCAGCGTACGCACTGTTCTTAGGTTGTCTATTAAGTGCAACTACGTACTAACTTTTAAAATTTGCCTATGTAGAACCTTTCCATTTGAAATAACGTCGATTTGCCTTTTTCTTTCTCTGTATTATCCTAGAGTGAACGAAAGAAAGAATCAGCAAGGGACATAACTTGCCCTTCTATTATCATTTAAGATGAAATTTGGCTGTGATCTCTCAAGTTAGCTTTTTTGAGAACATACACTAACACTGATCAGTGTGTTGTGGCGAGCAGCATGGTATGCTAGCCATCACATTTGAAAACAAAACACATTGTGACTATGTGGTGATGTCTGCAGTCATGCACTTACGAAATGAAAGAATGGTGTGCTTCTATGTACTTAGGGGGGACGGGGGTGACGCCTCAGCTTGTGATACGTCATACTGGCAAACAACAAAGTGTTTGTTACAAATAAACGTACTAATGAATATTTCTTTCAAGACAACTTTAACAACAAAGAACACAATTGAGTAAGCACTAATACAGATAAGCGTGTGAAACAATTTGTTCAATTATGTTGGTAAGCATTTATTCCAGTTTTTTTTGTTCAGCTTCCACCCTACTGTACTTTCAGAATTTTTATCCAAGCTCAAACAAAAAGTCAAGTCTATAGCCCTAGGTGCCAGGTTTATATTTCTTTTGCTAGCTTAAACACAAAAGCATTGCTGCACAAAACATCAACAGCTAGTTGTCGAAATAAGCGAGAGTGGGATTATAAATTAAGACTTCTGCGACCTTTTAAGCTTTCGCAGAACTCACTTGTGGCATTCTATGCCCATGTGCTGATTCACCGTCGCCATGCTAATTGCTAGCACGCTAGTTAGCTCGACTGGTAAGACGGCTCCCAGGAAAGGCGTTGATCCCGGGTTTTTATTTCCCGAACCAGTGGGAATTTTTTTTTCAACTGAGAAGTTTTCTATCCCGAGGAACCCGTATGAAACTTCTCTTCGTGCTAAATATTGGTAGTTGTCAATTTCCCGACCAACATGTCGGTCAAATCGGCCGACAAATAAGCAAAAAACATAATTACGATGGCTTCGCTTCCCACGCTGGTTTTCTTTCTCCGCTAGATATGTTATAAGCATGAAATCAGACTATATTTATGTAGACAAACGAATGAATGGATTGTGCGATTTCGCCTAAGGTCAGTTCTCTCGTGCTCCAGCAATTTGGCATGAAAGACGCGTACCTGCGCTCATGGGCAACGTTGGTGCAACGTTGCTCATGTGCACATTTTCATGCCTTTTAAAAAAACAGGACATGGTGGAGCTTCTCGATAATGGTTTCTGCTTAATAGTGACGGGAAACTAAGACATAATATTAGGCTGGTAGTAGCTAGCGCAATCACTTTCTTGGCAATGGGACGAAAGGCGTGACATATTAGGCCACCAGTCGCCCGTAAGTTATTTAGTATGAGGGCGCGGCAACTCAACAAGTCGAGGTGAGAACACAGGCACGTTTCGGGAGGCCTACGGGTTGGTCAGTGGCCTTGCGATCACTTGGTCAGTAACTGCATTTTCAGGCTCACCATGAAACCTGATGATACGAACTTTCATCGACCTCTTGCCTGCCGAAAGTTATCGTTATGTTTTTGCAATCCCTCTCGGTATTCTGGGACGCTGTCGTTATGAGCTCATGAACATGCTACTATTGCTGCTTATGTAGCCATACAAATTGTAAGTGGATTCAAACTTTTTATTCAGGTTATAGCAATGGTGGGTGCGACTTTCTTCTTTTTCCTATAGCAAGCAAGTTCATGTACAAATCAAGATTTGTACATGAACGCCCTGCAGGTTGCCAATGACTCTTACTATCGAGGCTTTTTCTCTGCACCTACAGGCTAACTTCTGGTTCACTGACATGGAGAAACCGGCGGTCAAGTTGCAGCTTAATCGAATTATCCAATATGAGGTGAGCTTTTTGGAAGTGGCGCATATATGCTTGTGTCATTCTAGTGCGATGGCCTGATATGCTTAAAATACGCTCTTTCATGTGAAGAAACAAAGTAACGTAATCGTCTCAGTACACATTTCATATACTCCTTGTGTTACTCCGGTATTCGTCGGCTACTAGGTGGTACTTGAAAAAAAAATTCACTCCCCTTCACGGGAGGGATCTACATGTCAAAGTAGTGTGACAGCTCGTGCAATTACGCAAAACGATTTTGGTGGTTCCTCCCATTCACATCGGATAACAGAGTTTCCGCTCAAAGGAACCGGCAATTTTCTTTTTTAAAATGTCCATTTTGTTTAGCGCTACGAAATGTTTACCGGTCAGTGAGTGTTATCACGGGATGGCAAAGTGAAAAACACCAAGAAACTTTTGTTATGAGAATTTTTTATCTGCAGTGAATATGAAGTTGTATGCAGATGTGACAACGCATGATTACGCGCTGCAAACGGTGAGCGCAAGAGCGGCTCGTCTTTGAGTACGGTGGTTTACTGCAAATACCCGCACTCTATGCGCATTCGCCGCGGCTCGACTTAGTCCACCGGCTGCCACAAAGGCAGCGTCACTTGTTACAGTACAAGCTCTTTTACGCCCTAAGCAGCACTGAATTAAGTGGGGTTTCATAATAATATACATACTCAAACTTGGAGGACTGAAGCGCATGACAGCATTAGATTAAGCGACTACACGCAGAAAAGTGATAGACACCACCGCTATAAGGATCTTTTCCTAGACTGCCCAACAATACGGCTTTGATTGCTTTCAAGCACAATTTAAATATAGAAATCCTAGTCGCAACGCGAAGAGAATGCTCGAAGCTGTCGCTATATTTCACGGTCTTCTCATTTCTACTGGGATCTAATCACGTGCTCTGGCCAGTTGTCAGCCTCTTTAACACTCGCATTCCTCCTCTTCTCAAGCTTACTGCCTGAGCAGGCCTCATTTCACCATGGGCTTAAATCTCCCCCTCCCTAGGCTCCAACGTCACTCGCCACTGCACCCCATATCTCCTGCGCTCCGCTCTCTCCCTCCGCTGTCTTAGCTCTCCGTCACCCCTGCTGTACTTGGCTGTGGGGCTTACCAATAGAGTTTCTTAAGACTTACTACGAAGGACTCTGGCGCTGCGTTCGTTCAGCCATCATGGAAATGACGGGTAGTACGCAAATTTTCCTGTAGTCTTCATTCTTACGGTTTCAAACGCGCTTGTGGCTTTGTTTATTGCTCTGTTTTGCTTTTGTTTCGAATAAAAGAACGAACCACTTTGAACTTCGTCAGCCGCTTTGAATCGGTGAGCCTAAAAGGTTAAGGCGGTGAAGTGCAACGACTCAACATTTGCGGGACCTCGTCTTGCGACAAAGCGCATTCAGGCCCCGCAGAGCCATACGGAGCTGAATTAATGAAGATTAGACAAGCCCGTATACTACCCATCATTCCCAAGTTGGCTGAAACGTGGTGCGCTGCAGCTGCCATAGACACTAGCGCCGGAGTTTCCTCTGGTGTATATATTTTGCGGCTGCGGCGGCTGCATTTTCGATGGAGGCGAAAATGTTTCAGGCTCGTGAACTTACATTTAAGGTGCACGTTAAAGAACCCCAGGTGGTCGAAATTTCCGAAGCCCTCCGCAAAGGCGCCTCTCATGATGATATCGTGCTTTTATTAAGAAGCTGAATCCCAGATATTACTATGCTTTATTATTTAGTGTATTTAGAAAACACTCTAAGAGCTTAGTTGATTCCTGTGGTCAGGAACTTACTTCATCCGAGTTTCTTGGGTGCCGCGTGGTGTTACTTCAAAGCTAGATTGGCTCCGCTGTTCAAAAATCACAATTATGTGGTACGTCACACTATGACGTAATCACGACGCCACGTAGTGTCACCTCGCGTTATAAAGTCATCATGTGACATCGTGGCTCGGTCAAAGATGTAGCGATCCCGGAGTCCCCGCAAAACAACGCGAGGTGGAAGAAGCTTTCAATGCCTCCGATCTTGCAGCCCGTGCCAAATCACACTAGGTGCTGGTAGCCTTCGAGAACCTTCACTAAAGCTGACTTCCAGGTAGCTGTTTTTCTAACCCATTCTGTGAACAACCAAGCTAAGTGGTATACAAAGTATACAGAATATCCAAGAATAAGAACACATTATATCGCCTTATGACATATTTTTGCACTGGTAGAATAATTCTTGCTATATAACTGGTCCCTCATGCTATTGCTAGTGATCACTTCTGCTGTATCTTAATCTTTAAGGTTTATTATTGTTGATATATTTGCGCTTTTGTTACTATAATGAACTTTCTTGTTAAATTAAGTATATGCATTGTAGTACACTTCTTATTTTGTATTTTTATCATTATTTGCACAAGTAAGCTTTATAAGATCGCTATGTTGCATTGTAGCGTTACGTTAATGATGTTCTTAAGTGTGTATTTATGTATTTTTTCTTGATGCTGCTAGAACTCGCTACCGCACTGTAGGCTGTGAATTTTCGTTAGTCTTTTTCTCTCCACTAAGTTGCCATGAGGTGTGCTGTCGGTGTGTAAATAAATAATAAATAAATAAATAAATAAATAAGACGTGTGGGACGCAGCTATACAGGCAAATGATGTACCAGTCTTGTCATTGGTGTCGTTTAAGGCTCCACGAAACGAGCAGTTATCACTAAACCTAAAATGTTTTCTGGCAGATAGTCCAACTGTAGGGATGCACGAAAATTGAATTGCTTGCAGAATGTGTTCATGCTGCTAGAAAGGATGTTATTCTTTTAAAAATGGCCGATGCGACACATTATATTGTGCGTGGTACGCAAAAATACATAGTGCGGAGCTGAGTGGCCAAAACGATCATGAAGGAACGATAGATGGGCAACGTTACAATGAGCTGCAAGAGATTGGACAAAAAGCCAGTTTCAATGTGTTACGCAGGCAGTTCTATTCTAACTTGAAAGAATAAAACGGGTTGCGTATTGTTAACTAATTACACTGCATTAATTGTGTTTTTGCTATGAAAATCATAGACCGATTGGGCTTTTTTATATTTCAGATACGCAAAAGCCTTGCATAGCTTGTTAATAATCAAGTTGGAAATGAGCATAGTTGTTCAAATGCTTTTGATATTTCATCAGATTTTTACACGCAAATTTTTATTATTTTTAGATATGTTGAAAACCTGGGACTAACAAATGAGAGTTTGCTTAAAATCAATTATTTGAACAAAAAACAGCCTTATAAAGGTTAGTATAAAAGTATTAGTTTAAAAAAAATTTCATGAAGCAACACGCGTACTGAAGTTCATTGCACGGGGCCCGATCTTAACGTTCGTCGAACTCCCACACTCTGTCTCACGCTCAAATACGCACAAACACGCAGTTGAACGAACGCGCACTCCTTGCCCAGACATGATCACAGTGCCAGGCACGTCTCAAGCCCCTGTCTACTCATATTTGCGCACAAGATAGATGGCTTTACTTACTTTCGAAGAAAATAGCCAACACACATAAAGAAAGTGTGAAGTTGAAATATGACAATTATAAAGCATGTTTGCACTTAAGTACGTGCTTTAGAAAGGTGCTTACCGCTACTGAAAGGTACGCTTTATTACGGGCAGCCAAGTCGGTTTGATAGCATTTACAGCACTACACGCATGAAGAAGACAGAAATGCCTTTCACCTGCTTGATGGGCAACCCCTACGTATAGATCTCTAAGATTTCCTTCTTGCTACTTTAGAGCGACTCACTTGTCTGCATGACGACGCTGTCTACGTCTCAATTTCTGACCTCCTAAGTGAGCATGTACTGATCGAAATGCCGAGACATACAATCGGGACATGCGTCGATAAAGCCTCAAGATATGGTACCTGCTAACCTTACTTATAACCTAATTCATCTTCGGGCCTTACTTTGTATATCAGTCAATATAATGTTACCTTGTTCATTGTTCCGCCAATGTGCTGAAAGGGTGGCATGTCTCAATATAGTTGCTGTATCTCGTCATCCTCACCTCGTGCGCAGAGGTGTACTGGTGGTGCCATCGGCCACTATAACGTCTCCGGTACATCATGTATGCGCGAGCTTGAAATAAATCGATATCTTGACCTAAAATGTGTAATTATACCAACAATTTTATAATATCAATAATATTTATCATTGTTATTATATTATTATTATTATATTATTATTATTATTATTATTATTATTATTATTATTATTATTATTATTATTATTATTATTATTATTATTATTATTATTATTATTATTATTATTATTATTATTATTATATGAAGGAATGATGACAACAAAAGGGAATAGCAAGCATCATCGCAGAGTATGGCACCACGAGATCGGCGCTCGAGCTCCTCCATCTTCCTCGTCCTGTCGCTATCTCCAATCTCCCACCTGCCCGTCTGGTTCGCCCAATAAACCTCTTTACATTTGGTGGATCGTGCTGGGTAACCACATCGCCTACAACCTGGAACTCCGATCTCGTACCCTGCCGTCGACCATGCAAGTTGACACTGCCCAACAAACAATACCTCTCGTGGCCGCTACTTGCCCCGGCCCGGTTCATCAGCGAGACCCCCCGATCTTTGCCGGCACCGAAGACCAGGACGTCGAGGACTGGCTGTCGTCATACGAGAAAGTCAGTGGACCCAACAGGTGGGATGACGCTGCTAAGTTAGGCACTGTCAATTTTTATCTCACTGACGTGGCCAAGCTGGGGTATACGAACCACGAAACCGAGTTCGCGAATTGGTCCGCCTTCAAGGAGGCAATACGTGCCGTTTTTGGTCGTCCTGCCTTACGGAAGCTACGCGCCGAACAACGTCTGCGCACAAGGGCACAGGAGCCAGGTGAAACTTTCACATCATATATAGAAGATGTGATTGATCTCTGCCGGCGCGTCGATGCTTCCATGAGCGAGAGTGCGAAGATACAGCACATTATGAAGGGCGTCGATGATGACGTTT